TCACGAGACTGTAAGGAAGTTTGGATCTTATGAAACCATTTTTTTACCGTCAAGAAAATGCATGGAATTGCATACCCACCCACCAGCCGCGGGGGTAGCTAGTGGGTTTTGTTCACCCTACTGGAAAGATAGGGCCTACCCACTAAAAACCTGACTGTTTCGTTATGAGTCCTATGAGTGTGGAAAGCGGGACATCGCCATTGGCTATTGCCTTTAGCATTCGTCCGTGTTCCCTGTTCGATTTCTGCTCGCTTAGTGCAGCCTCACTTGTATCATCTTCTACACTGAAAAAACTGGTTTGGTCACTGCTTATACAAAAAAGTGACTTGCGAGCTGGAGGTTACTACCAACTACTAACTTTGGTAATGAGGAATAAAATGTTGTGTAAAATAAACAAACTACTTTGATGTTAGCTAAACTTGGTTTGGTTATAGGTTAACACTCAGTTCGTAAGTCACTATTTTCGTGTAAGTAGCAACCAAACACTTTTTTCAGTGTAGGATCTTAATCCTTTCCTTCGCCATCGAGCAGCACGCAGGACACGCGCCGCGCCATCGTAACTTCTTTAATCCTTATGAAACCAAAATTCAGCGTTGTGACCTACATAATTTGCGGGTCACGACATAATGCTGAGTAAGGTCAAGTCTTATTATGACGGACGCGCTTACGATATCGATGACGTTGCTTGGCTTATCCTGGCCTAGATATCCTTCTTTTTTGTTTTCTACTTTGTTTTTTACTTCTGTTGTGGGTTATGCTTGTTTTTTTCTGATGACCCATCGTAACAAATATTAGCTATATGTATATAGATAGTGCAAAAGGACTCGGTTAACCTTAGAAGTAGACACTTGGTAGGACTCGAAAAAGGAGACAAACGATCTCAAGTAATAAGTAAGTGGTTTGGCTGTCATAGTAAACATCATCTCAAGACTCCAAAAAAATTAAGAATTTAAGCTGTAGGCACGCTTTAATTTTTCCAGAATGATTTTATCAATCAAAATTATTATTCATAGTATACCAATTGAACCTAGCAAATATTCTGGAATACAAAACAGTTAATTTAATTAGACCTTCAGGCTATGTTGGATCATGAAGCTTATCAAAATGTTTGGGTTGAAACAAGAAGATAAAATAGAGGGCTTTTTACTTGGGTATTAATTATCCTCGTCTAATGCTATATAATAGTTAGCTTTCAATTTTCAGTAGGCGCTTACTTGGTAACATGGCATGTCCCATCCATCAAAGCGAAAAACTTATTTAGATACAATAATTGCTATTTTGTCTTTAATTTGTCTTCGATTAGTTTTTTGGAGGTATACTCGTAATTATTACATACTGCTGAAAAAAAAAATTCTGATTAGCATAATATTTGCCATTGTAGTGTCAAATATAGGCAATAAAGTGCTACATTACAAATTATTGTAAACTTTAATAATTAAACAATGAAGAAAAACTTACGGCTCTACTTTGCATTGCGTGCTTAAAATTGCGTGTTAAATTACTTGTAGTAGAAATGTCCTATTTCCATTTAAGAATTCAGTTTGTGAATTATTTTGTGAAGTTTTAGATTAGCTAGGTATGAACGACGTAGGAATATAAACACTGGATTGTTAGGTAATAAAAATGCTAGATATAACTAGTAAGATAAGCTAGTGGCTATAAAGTCAGCTAAAACAAAAAAATATTTTATAAAGGAATGCTGTTATAAAACACAATTGTGAGCTATAATAGCTAGGTTGCCCCTTAAAAGCACGTAACTTTTCTTCAGACGATTTAATTTCTTCGGGTCAGGGAATTGGTAGAAGTTGAGAATATTAAAATAATCGGGGATAGGTTGGATAAATTCTTTTTCTGTTTGGTTTTTCTGTGATTTCGTCCTTGAAAAGTGTATTGAAATAGGTAAAATAAGTAATAATCAAGTGAAAAAAACTTAGCGGGACTTATTAAATTGGATTATCAGATAAGAAAGTAGGTATAGCTAAATATCTACATTGGATTAAATTGGTTAGTTAGAGGAGATTTTAGGAAATACTATCTAAATAGGAGAGAATACTACCTAAGTCTCATACTTCTTATTTCCAAGTACTTAATGTGTTCATGGTTCTACGAGCAGAGCTGTTATGGCTAGTATTTTTTATTCGACGGCCACGGGAAATAATGGCAATAAATCTGATTGAACCGTAATTCCGAAGACATTATCAAATTCAGAATCCGCAAATGGCCGAAGGGGACCGGTACCTCGATTGGAGGCAGTAGAGCGCATCAGCCGATGTCAACCGCTACTTGGACGGTGGCTATTACGCTTCGGAAGCTTCTTGTGTAACTTTTGCAACGATATTAATGCTTATCTACTTACCTATCAATAAAACGGTTATTGTGTCGTGATTACCTTACGGGCTTCTTTATTTGCTACTTTTGCTGTCAATTCTAAGATTCTCTTAAGTGTTTAAGAATTGACAATAGGGTTACTTTTAAAACCTGCAATGATCAAAACATGTACATGGCGATTCTCTGATTTTGGACTTTCGTGTCGAGAGAGTTCACTTCATTTCCACTAGAAAATACCACCGAGGTGGATTTTCTATAGAATATACGTAAGGACTATTATTAGGAAAGAGTTCATGTACTAAAATAGTTTGGTCCCAAGAGAAAGATTCGCCGACCTTATAATAATGGAATGCAATATATCAAGTTCCCAACTTTTAACACCTCGGGCTCTTCGCCATTATTTGTTGTGAAGTTTATCTTCAAGATAGAGTCCGTATTTGGTAATGATATTAGAAAGTGGGATTTGAAGTTTGGACTCTGATTGTGATCTCCAGGTGGCAATCGAAGCACAACTGAGATGTATAAAGTAGACTCTCTTTTGCACAAAAACTATGGTGTGGCGTGTAAATAGTACACACCGTGCAGGCGGGATCTTACTCGGGTCCAAAACTTCCATCCCAAATAATTTTGTCTGCAGAGAAGGATAGCTGTTCCCATTAACCTCTCGAGCCGATCCTGGGTCCCCTTCTGCCAGCTCGACCACCGCTGGTACCGGGACACTCATGATCTTGCTCATGGAGTCTTGGTGTTATGCCAATGAATATGTATAATATTAGTGATTCTGTTACTCAGGGAGATTTAGTCTAGACTCTACCCGGGTCCAGACTCAGAAATCTGTAATTCTGAAAACAATGCGTTGCCTTCAAACTCATAGAAGTAAGCCTACTATTTACATTTTCTTTATAATTTTAGTTTATTTTGATTGCGTAATGTTTATGGTGCCTTTCAGAGTCATGCCTCTTGTTGAGTGATCACTACAAATAAGGATTAAGGTTGCAGTAAACTTTTGATGCGATGACTTTATTGAAGTTATAAAATGCTCGTTTGGTTTTAAGTTTATTCTTTTGAATGTCTGAAACTTTGAAAATATACGTGTTTTCTTATAAAACCAGTAGGCAAAAGTTTAAAGTATAGTTACTAAATCTACTAAGAAACTACTAAGAAATACTAAAGCCGTTAACTTCTAATAAATCAACCGTGACTTTTCAATTGGAAGAATAATTCGCTTTCAAGGATAATAATAACTCTTTTATATTTCGTGGAAAGAAATGTTTCAGTATAAGTAGTTAAGCAGCAGTTTCTTGTTAGAATTTTTATTTTTTTTCAGTTTAGTAAAATTTTCCTCGCTTTTCTGTTTAATAGCATATTTTGGTGTTTTAGGCTGGGTTGCACAAACGTCAAAAATCTGTCTAACTCCATACAAAAAACACCGGTTATCGTTATAGTTACGGTCAACTCAGCCTTAAAGTGTTAAGTCCTATAAAGTGGCTTTTCGTCACAATTAAAAGAAAGATTTTTCTTTGCCTGTTCGTCACAATACTCGTAATTTTGACAAATACTTAAGTTTTTACGACGACTATAAACTGTGGAAAACTGGCAAATGCCGTTGCTTGCCGCAGCTTCACATTTCTGCGGTCGAAATTTATTGTTTCCGCCCTCAAGAATTCTGAGAATGAAAAGTAACACTACTTTTATTGTAATTCCATAATGTAGCGCATTGAACAATAATATTGTCATATAGGAAATTCTATAAGAAAATGTAAAGCTCTAGAGAAATTAGCTACTACTTGTACCTACGTGTATGTCTAACATTAGTAGGTACATTTTAGAATCGTTTTAATATAGGTTATGAAAAATTATGCCATTTTTGTTCTTCAACTGATTTTGCCCGCGGCTTCTCACGCTTTGATATATTGATCCGCCACAGTCTATCGTGAGTGTGCGATCAAAAGCTAACATGAGAAATAATTAAGTACCATTGTTGATCTAAAGTACGTTTTATTATTGTCTGCCTACTTAACTACCTTGTCCCTTCTTGTTAGACTAGATCTAGAATATTGTTCAATTTAAAACTGATACAATGGGAATTAGGTAGATAGAGAAAAAGCATCGTTATGATTTTGAAGAGTTGTTCAAAATGTCGCACTGTCATTGTATCTTTTGTCCGCATCCGCCGTATTACCGGCATGTCGAACTAAAACAATCGAGAATGCAAGTTCCAATTAGGGTGTATTACCATTGTCACCCTCCACAACGCGACGTAGACATAATATGGGAAGATTTAGAAGGCCCACTACATAGTTCGCATGTAATAAACACCACGCTGTAGTAATACTTACCTAGTAACTGAACGAAGTTCAGGTCATGGTTCAGGTTTTTGTAGCACGCCTGGGTGTCTCTATTGTGCTTTTTAGTCTCAAATGAATTATGAAGCTGTAACAATATTATAAGATTTCTGATAAGATTATGTAAGGTTTATGGGTTAACGTTCAAAGGATTTCATACCAACAATAACAGAAAGAAACATGGGCTAAATCTAGTATATTTATGTGGGCTTACTTAACCTACCTTACAATACCCAGCCCATCGTAACTCCATAATAATTTCACTTTCATCTAATCCCAATGTTCGGCGTACCCTATCACGTTGTAATTGGCAATTTTCTCTTGCAGACATTACCTTGGCGAGGCTGCCGGTGATATGGGGAACCATGGTGTTGTGAAGTGAAACTGTAGTGGTAATAAAAGAAGATGGCGGCGCCAGCACCAGCGGCGTCGTGCATGAGCACCGAGCATGGCTGCGTCATGTTCGACTGTCTTGTCCACCTGTGGGAATGGTAAGTGGTTTTTATACTAGTAATAGATGTATCCGACGACCTCATGAAGGAAGCAGGCAGGCGCTGGATGCAGGCCTCTACCAACCGGCATTTGTAATCATCGGTGGACGCATATGGCTAAAATGATGATGATGGATGATGATGAATAGATGTAAAGGATCTCTTTTCTTTGTAACTTTGCGTTTGCATACAGAAAGATAACCTTATCATCTGGTAAAGAGAAGTTGCTTCGGTCCAAAAAACAAACCAACGCTTAAAGCTCGATTCAATCTAGTCACAGGTCAGGTTGGTCTTTAAATGTTGAAATTAAACCAATGAAAAGCGCATCAGTCAATCTACATTTGAATTTGAATCACACTTTGAGTTTCGTTACGCACCTTAATCTTCTTAATATGTTTTTGAATTATGTAAATCAAAAGTGTTTACCAGTTTGGTTGAATAGTTGAATGGAGACATAATTTTACTATTTCCAATAGCATTTGTGGAACGTAAAACTTCAAATAAATACTTACCTTCATAAATAAGTAGGTAGTTGAAGATTTGAAAAGACAACTAACTATCTATATATATAAAAGAAAGTCGTGTTAGTTACTTCGCTTATAACTCAAGAACGGCTGAACCGATTTAGCTGAAAATTGTCAGGGAGGTAGTTTAGAGCCAGGAGAAGGACATAGGATACTTTTTATCCCGTTCGAAATTTTAAAAAAAGTCTGCTTATTTATTGCCATTAAGGCAGAACAAAGTTCGCCGGGTCAGCTAGTTTTTTATAAAATGTGCTTAGGTATTATCATTATACCTACTTAGCGCTCAGCAATTTCATCATACTCATGCATGGGTATAATAAAATATTACTTTTCCGTGCTTCGGACGTCATATTAGTATTCCCAGGTGTACTTAGTTGTGCCTAGGCAGACCTTGGGCGACTCGATAGTAGAAACATAAAACGAACAACATTCTAACGGCAATATATGGCCGGCATGATCGTCAAAGTTGCAGCAATATAAAGTAATCATATATGTAGAGTTTGATATCGACAAATTATAGGAATAATAAAATGCTATTTAATTAAAACCCATAAAATTAATTTATTTTCTTCAAATTGACCTTGTAAAGTACTTTTACACGTCCCAGTGTTACTTTAAACCTGTCACTACTCCGGGACATTACATGGGCCAGTGCTGACAAGAAGCAGAGCAAGAGACTCAGTCACCTCACATTAGGGGAAAGTAGTACGAGTTGATCCCCTGGGGTAAGATGATCTTTCGCGATTGTGCTGAAACCACTAACGTCATTTAGTTTCTTTCACTGGTAAAACATAGCTCTGGACACATCCCCGCCTCAGTCAAATCGTAATGGTGGCGTGAGCGATACATCGAATTTGACGAGAAAAAAGAAAAATTGTGTACTTCTGATCTAAAATAGGCATGACTTTGAGCTTATGTTACTTTTATTCAAACAATGTTAAATGTAATTACTGTTGTCGTTAGGCTTTCTATTATGTTTAATTTTAATATTTTGGCCATAAAAACGTAGCCGCGTACTTGTAGATTATTTTAGCAAATATTTAACAAAAAGTGGGACTTGGGTCAAGATGATCCCTTCCTATATGTACGAGATGATCCCTGGGAATTAAAATAAAAAAGTCAATGGAGTAGGTAAAGGGAAGTGAAATAAAAGAAAGAGAACTTCATATAACTCACCTGAGTCTGAAGAAGAGAAGGAGATGATACTGAGTGGCTGTACTGAACAGAAAAGTTTTCAAGCGATACCAATTAATGTGAAGGATGGATAAAATGTTATGCATGTGGAAAATGGGGCCATAAAGCATGTGCTGGGGTAGAGGGTGATGAAGCAGGTGAATTTATTTGTGATATATTCAACACAGCTCCAGCCAAAAAGCGTTTCAATTATTAAAACGCTTTTTAGCAGGTACTAAGAAAGAATCAGTTATTTTCGTTATTTAATTCGTAAATGTTTTTCTTTTCTAACTTTTTAACGATTTGTTCGCATAATTAGGTACTCCGAAAGGAATATAACCAGAAAAGAATAGATCATAGAACAGAATCATAGGGATCATCTTACCCCTACCTGGGGATCATCTTACCCACAGGGGTGTACAAGATGATCACTTTGCAATGTTTTGCAAAAAATGAAATATTTTAATGAAACCTCAATTAATTTCTGGTTTTGAGTATAACGAAAGTTGGATAGATAAATATACTAGTAGTAATCGTCTTTATTTTTTGGTTTACCTTAAAAATATGTATTTTACAGCGATTCCCGCTTAAGGGGATCATCTCGTACTACTTTCCCCTAATTATCCGAATCAGTGTTGCCATGTAAATTGAACTGATGCAATGTTGCCAACTTGACATAGTGATGGAGAATATATTGCTCAAAAATGTTGCTAGTTTAAAATAGGCCTTAAGATTGGTCACTTGCCAATCCGCATTGCGCTTGATTGGTTGAGTCTGTCAGAAATTTAGTTTTTTACACCTAGTAAACGGAAAAATCATTAAAATTGACTTGAAACTTCTTGGTTGCAAATTAAATTAGCGATTTTTAAATCCAATCTGTGCTGAAATTGATATTCCTTACTCTACCATTAGAGTCATGGGATTCGTTGTGAGTGTTTTACGTAAGTGAACAACGTTATTTTTGTTCATAAACTTAATGAAGTCTACGATGCTAATAAAGAATAAGTGTATAATAAATACAGCAATCCAACTTCAAAGGAAATAAAGAAATTGTCCCGTTTATAAGGAGAAACCGTGGAAAAGTAATCTGCAATATTAGCTATTACAGCAATTTTACAATTTCCGAGTAAGGTGCCACTTAAGAGACAATTGCCCTGTCCTACTTATTATTTTTTCTATGAACAATGTTATTATTATCGGAAAAATTTTGGTGGCATATAATACCACGACAATAGAACAATAAGTGTTATTGCATCGTTTAAGCTCCTGAGAGGTCATTGTGGCGTCTTAAATGCCACGACCATTGCAAATTACTACTATTTACTGCAATAAATAATGCCTATTGATGCCTGCAGAATTATAAATGGGTTAAAGTTTATTTCAAGGATGTTTTGTTAGTTTTGCACGGTTATCTTTATCGTAATACAAAATCTAATATAAGTAGATACTTGCTCAACAATAAATATTGGAGAGTTTTGCGTCGCATTTTCGTAATGTTCAATAACCCGTTTTGCTAATATTAGTGCAGAGTATACTCTTATGTTTAAATGAAGTTATTATGTTTATCCATAGTGATACGAGTACATAATACTCGATATATCACATGTAATATTAAGTAAGTATCTCATAACTTATTTTATGTAGTGTGAAAGTCTACCTATATGACGATGTCATTACGATTTTCTTTCGCAGCTCATTACTTATAGTAGATTTACCTCACTTTCCTCAGCGAAACCGCAAGTTGTTGTTAATCTATAGTAAGTTATAGTACAACGAGAGGAGAAAAGTTTCTTCACTGGTTCATTTAACACAAAAACAACAATTCCTGCTTCTGTAGATATAATGTTTGTGTTTATGCCCAAACATTTTAAATGTGATGTGCACCAGGATGTAGGTACCTTGAAAGTAACTATAGAACGACACACATTTTGAAATAGTTTTGGGCAGCTTCATTATACGGTAATTGAAAACTAAAGGCAGAACGTCGTTGCAAAATTAACTCCCGGAGTTTTTCTTAGATCATGAAAATGGAAATGTAAAGAGGTATTTTCATTCAAGTCTCGAAAACTTTGACTATTAATTTGTACTAGCTTATGCCTGTGGCTTCGCGCGCGTGAAATTTTGTCTGTCACAGAAAACTATCGCGCGCGTCTCAGTTTCAAAAACGGAATAAAAACTATCATATCATCAAATTTTCTCTATGTTACGGTCAAAGTGAAAAATGTAAAAATTATGAATAATCGCCGGTTATTATGAATAATTACCGCATGATTTGGTAAATATGATTAATATGAGGTCATTTATGTGTGTGTAAAACTAAATAGGCGGCTTAGAGGTGGCCCAAGGGCCACCCCCGCCGCACCTTAACCTATTTTTCACTTTAAATCAAAACATTATGTTATAGGTATCATGGAAAAGTAATATTATGCAAGAAACATTCCAAACTCATTATGCCAAATTATAGTAATATATGATATCAAAACGTTTGGCTGTACACGAGCACGTACACAAGATGTTGTTCTCTTTTATGATATTTGATAGTACTAAGTTTCAATATTAAATAATCTCTGTTTAATGTGATTAATTTATCACTTTTACCGCGACTGTCGGTAATTATTCATAATAACCGGTTATTATTAATAATTTTCAATTTATCACATTAACCGTAACATCTATACCAAATTTTATCACAATCGGTCCAGTGGTTTAGGCGTGAAAGTGTAACAGAGTTACTTTCGCATTTTATATTAGTAGGGATGGATAGTGTGCGTAATAGCAGCTTAATCGTTAGTTACTTGATTGCATCCGTCGTTAAATGTGAGAAAACTATGCAGAGAGAAAATGCACAGACGTAAAGTGCATGTTTGACAGCCCCGTTTAAAAGTGACAACGACAGGTAATAGGCGACAATTTTCTAATTGCGGTTTCGAGAAAGTGTTAACGAGACATTTTTATATCATGTTAACTTAATCCGCAATAAGCTTAGGATATAGTGTCGAATCGACACGAACGGCCCCTGAAACACGATATAATTTGGAATGGAAGCCCGAACTTGTATTTTTTTTTGAAAAATAGAATATCTGTATAGGTACTTATTGTTTCTTGTATTGTGTTACTAAAACTGTGGCAACTTATGTAGTTGGGAGGGTTGTTATTCTCCAACAAAAATATTAGTTTTCATGTGCTGTTGACTGTATCAACTGAACTAACCGATTTTAAATGTAGAGATTTGTTGTCTTGTCAAATAAGCAAACTTTTTTAGGTCACCTTTTGCCTATGTATAACTGTCGTTTGACGGCGTTG